TCTCTTCTCTTCTCTTCTCTTCTCTTCTCTTCTCTTCTCTTCTCTTCTCTTCTCTTCTCTTCTCTTCTCTTCTCTTCTCTTCTATGCCCACGTTATACACCGTTTTGCCGATCCTCATAAAGTTCACGAAGCCCGACAGTAAATCCGGTTTATGACAGGCCGACCGCCACCACCGGACACTCTCGAAATTACGGCTGAACCATCGAATTTTTATACTCCACCTTGCCAACGCCAATTATAGCGTTTCAGGAGGGGGTGGCTGGAGGCCGTTCAAAGGACGTCGTCTTTTCCAGGTTAGAGTTCTGTGGCACTTTGGTATAGATAAAGCGTGACGAAAAGGAGAAAGAAAAAGAAATTCGGTGACTTTGCAACCACATTTACGCTTCGTAAAAGAAAAAGTTAAATTAGTAGGCGCAGAGTTCTAGCATTTGCTTTCTTATTTTAGTCGAAAACGCGTGAAAATTACAGATAAAATTACGTTGAATTCGAACGGAATTAAATTGTTGGCGCAGACTTTCTAATTTTACGCGAAAACGTACAAAAATTACGTTGCCATCATCCGAATTGCTGTTTAGAAGCAAAGATGCGTCTCATCTTGAAATTTTCCAAGAATTTTTACGAAATCTAATCTGGACGATAATGTACGAAAAATGTACGAAAATGCTGGAGTCGATTTCGCGCAGCGTGCCGTTAAATCGTAATAATTTCGCGTCTCGTCCGAGACGATTGAAACGATTCTTGAGGAAGCCGCGGCCGCAATATAATGATAAAAAGAATATCGTTGCATAATTTACGCGAGCGAAACCGAGTCCCTTGGAATATTTAAGGCAATTTCGCAGATAGCGATCGCATCGCGGCTGCCTCGCGGAGATAGCGTGCAAACGGATACTTTTCCCGGTGTGTGGATACTTACAATTTTCTCGGCGGCACGCGGATGCATTACTCGTGGCAAAGGTTTCCTAACGCGAGACAGTTACTGAGCGTTTTCCGACACTTTCGGCCGCGTTTTAACCGGGGCGATGGCGAGTTCTGCCACATCGTAAATACTTTCGGCCGCGGCGCGGTTCCAAATGGCGCGCGAGAATCTCGCCATCCTTCTCCTGCTCCTCCTCCACTCCTCGCTTGTCGCCTTTTTCGCGAATTAAACGCGAGTTAAGTACGTAACGAGCCCCGGCCCCGATATCTTTACGGCCGATCTCGATGAACAATTACTTATTAATAGTCGCGCTTAATGGCTCACGCGACCCATTTAATCACCGTAATAATCCTCCGTTCGCATTTTTTTTCGCCAGCCGATTTATGCTATCGGAATTGGAAGTCTCCGTAGCATCGAGTATATTGCGAAGATTGCCGCTCGCCGAGAACACAAGTTTTTGTTACCTGTAATTTCGTCTTGGGACTTTAGTCTTCAAAGCCCTTCAGAATTGACGAATCAGAATTCTGTAGAGGTTGTATACATATGTAATAGAACTTATTGTTTAATTAGATACGTTTGTACGGGCATGTAATTTCAGCAGACAAGTATCAAAGAGTCTAGCTCGTTTTTTTTTTTGAAAAAATTCAAAAGAGAGAGAGAGAGAGAGTTTCTTTGAGAAAACTCGAGAGAGCGTGTATTGAGAAGCATCTATTTTTCTCTGCGATTTGTCCGCGAGATTGTTTCTACCATTTTTACTTCGTCCGTACGCAAATCTCTTTTACGTCGTGACAGTGTCGCGACAGAAATTGTAAAGTTAATTTACAGTTCCAAAGTCTCGTTGTACGTCGATTGAAATCCAACGGAAATCCAATTGTTGGAAAGAAGAGGAGCAAGGATGGGTAGTGTTTCATTTCTCCAGGGTGCATCGTTCACCGCGGTCGCGAAAAGATCGAGAAAAGTATGTATGGCGAGTTCTGCCGAAGGAAGTCGAGGAGAGAGAGGCGCGCTCTCTCGACGGGGGGCGCGCGTATCGTGCGCTTTGCTCGGGGTGATAATTTGCAAGAGATGGCAGAAATGGATTGGCGAACTACGTTCTTCTCGCCGATTGAAAAATCCCCTTCGCGCGGGCCAACAGGTGAACGCCTGTTTCATTTAGTTTATCCCTGGCGATTTCATCGTGCTCCGGTACCCAACCGATCAGTGTCGATGAGTTGTTTGTACTGGACCTCGTACGAAACTCTACCGTTATCGTCAACGAGAAAGCTGTTAGTTTCAAACTGGTAATTAGAAGATACGAATAGAATGTCCAAGCTCAAGGAACGTTTCGGTGAAATTAAATGGTTTGAGATCCGGTTTGAGGGAGTTGGAAGATTGTGGAATTTTGCTAGATGCTGTAGGTTTCTGAAGAATCTTAAACATTTCTCGGGTTTAATTCCAATAATACGGCCTTTGAAGATCAAATGGCTTGGAACACTTTGAAATTGAACGCTCCGAACTTGAAAGTATCCAACGCGAATTGATCAAAGAGCGCCCACCTAAAGTCCCTTCAAATTCAGTGCTTCGAGCCCAAACAACTCTCGACTAACGTATCGTCAAATTTCATCGTTTCCCGAGTTCTGCAAACCGAGAATCTCGGCTCGAGATTGGAAAGAGCAGCGAGACGTAGGCGGCAATTGGAAGTTGGTTGGCAAGCGAGTGGCGCAGCGTGCGGCGGGGCAGAGCTTGAGAGAAGGCAGCAGGAAGAAAAATAGCTCGGTTATGATTACGGGTTACCGGTGGCGGGGGTTGTTCCTGACCACGACCCTCTTTTACCGCTACTGCGGTGTGGCTGGCGTATTAATGCGATACAC